GCGTCGCGGAGCGCGGCGCCCGGTATGTGTGTGTTGGGCGAGTCGCCCGGCGGGGTGCCCGGCGAGTCGCCAGACGAGTCGCCAGAGCTCCATATCCAGGGTTTTCCTAGTTCAGTCTGGAATTTAGCCCTGGGCATATATAGCAGTGCAATATGTCCTAGCTTTGCCTTTTGGTATTGAATATCCTGGTGGAAGTTTTGTATTTCATTGATTTCTGTAAAAGCAAAATACTTCTTGATTAAAGCAATTTCCAACAGTGGCTACACCCAACTTTATTTGCTGCGGAAGAAGGGAATGGTGGCATTCAAAGGACAACATGTCTACCTGATACAATCTTCCTAAAGTAAAATTTCCATTTCCTGCTTGTGGTATCTTTAGGAAGTTCTGCAAGTCTCAAATGAGAAAACATCCATGCTGGATTTGCTTTGATGTTCCTTCCAAAGATGTTTTTCCTGATTAATAACTCCTTTATGTCCATATTTAGTAATATCGTTTTCAGATTTTCTCCTCAGAGTTCAGTCCTTGGAGTATGTCAACTTGTTTAAATGGTGCTGCGGCTAGTCTTGAATAAAAGCTTTAGTAAAAAAAGGCTGAGAGTGGGACACTGGGACCAACCAACTAGTCTCTTATAGACTCTTTAACAATGTTATGCTGTGTCTGTATTACTACGTATGTGCTGACTAAAAATTCTTATGGACACTGGGACACAGTAACTTTCATGCTGCATACAAAAAATTCTTCAGTTTCAGCAATACGTTTTGAATTGATCACTATTTACTGGATCACTTTGTCACGTTCTCAACTGCTGAATTGTCACTGCAAGAATAATGAACTATGATGATCTAAACTGTAAACATGCTTTCCTTCGATTCAACTAACTATAAGCATCAAACTTGGATGCCCTTTGTATGATACATTATAAATTTATATGCAATCCTGGAGTTAGAATCTGAAACATATACCGCATTTTTTGTTGTGTACTAACAATAACCATTTCCGCAGTTTTCTGAAACATTGGATGTATTTTTGGCTAACTCTCTTTTCCTATTTCCTGGCTTACACAGATCAGCTTAACTAGCCGATATGGTTATCCCTGCACCAGCTAGGGCGCCTGCGATCACCAAGTTCCTCAAGCCCTATGTTCTGAAGATGCACTTCACAAACAACTTTGTGACGGCCCAGGTCATCCACACCCCATCGGCGACCATCGCATGCGCAGCGAGCTCACAGGAGAAGATCCTGAGGCCAAGCATGGAGTCGACGCGGGACGTGGGCGTGGCTGCGGCGGCCAAGATCGGGAAGCTGCTCGGCGAGCGCCTGCTGTTCAGGGGCATCCCCGCGGTGTCTGTCTCCATGTCGAGAGACCAGACGTACCACGGCAAGGTCAAGGCCGTCATCGATTCTCTCACAGCCGCCGGCGTGAAGCTGTTGTGAACGGCGGTAGCCGATCATCAGTAGCTGATTTCCGCCGGCTGTTTAGTCCTTGAAGTGAAGTGCAGATAAATAGTGCCTTCAGGCTTATGATGTTCGAACCTGTAACTGTCCCAGGCATCACAATACAGATCAACATGTTTCTGTTCAGAACACGGGGTTTTCCGACACGTGTCACAGGAATGAAATTGCATCTTTTGGAACACCTGCGTTGGGAATAATACTGTTACTTGGGAATCACGTATTAACGTCGTTGGATTCCAAGTCTTGAGACTTTTCAGGTCAAGTCTCCCATGCCCAATATAGTATGAGACCCTGAAACTTGACCACCACGGAGTAACATAAGGAGTACAGTCAGCTAGCACTCACAAGGAAAGATATACGTATTAAAGAAGGGAAAAGCAGCGGCCAGTCCAAGAAACGTGAAACTTCCTTTTATCTAATGGTGCATCAGCTCACACCTGCCGTGCCCCCTATATAAACGGGGTCACGGCCGCCGCGGAGGAAGTCAAAGCGGAAGGATCACCGGCGGTTTGATCGAGTTCATCTTCATCCTACAGGTGAATCCAACAAGTTCGAGTGAGTGGTGCTCCTGTTCTTCTCTTGGACGGTGTTCTTGCTCTGCTTTTGGCCATGCTTGTTTGTCATTTGGTGTTGATGCAGCAGCTGGAGACAGAGAGAGAGAGAGAGAGAGAGAGAGAGAGAGAGAGAGAGGGGAGGCAGATGGAGCAGTTGATGGAACAGGAAGGGGACAACATGGTATTTCAATCAGCATCTGCACTTGTCCTTTTTCTTGTTTCTAATCTCGATTCATTGGTTCGGATGGCAGTAACCCTCGAAACTCGTCTCTCAGGCCACTTCGGTTGTCTTATGATCTTAGTCCTCCGAATTTTCTCTTTTGCTTGTTGGTTTAGTTGTGCCGCATCCCCAAATCTTTTAGCTTGGTTGGTCACAAATGGTGTTTATCTTCTTATAGGATCTAGCTGGGGATGGCATCCTGCCACAACAACATGGTCCTGCTGGGGACGGTGAAGAAACAGATCCCACAGTCAGTTCTCCAAACTATCACCAGTAAGAAAATTATCAGCAGTAAGAAGCTTTGCTGATTCTGCTTCTTGCTGCAGCAATACTATGAAAATAGGCTGAAGATGCTTGATTCGCTTAGAAGCGCGGGCGTCGAGCCCTATCCGCACAAGTTCGAGGTCGCCATCTCCATCCCAGACTATGTGGCCAAGTACAGCAGCTTGGGTGCTGGCGAACATTTGCTGACTGTCACTGAAAGCTTGGCTGGTATTGATTATTACTATGTGAAAGCAACTGTAATTAGCACAGCCAAAGCTTTCTGCTTCCTGACATTATTTGTTTGTGCCTGCAAGGGCGGGTTATGAGCAAGAGAGTTTCCTCATCCAAACTCTTCTTTTATGATCTCTATGGCGATGGGGTGAAGGTTCAGGTCATGGCTGGGGCCAGGTATCAGTTGCTGCATTGTTTGGATCAAGATGATGAAATTAGCATATCAGATGCATTTTGTTTGTCATTTATAATACCTTTTCCTTTATATATTTTTTCCATTACCAAATACATGAAGTGATTTCTAGTTTCTTATCTCTCTGTTAGCTGCTCAGAGGTGGCCGAAACTGAATTCTACAAGTGCCACAGTGTTGTGAAGCGGGGTGATATTGTCGGTATAATTGGATACCCAGGTTAGTAAACTTGTGTACTTGTCCAATTTAGCAGTTCCTCCATTGAGGTTTATATCTTTTTTCTGTCTAAAAGCCTGAACAATGTTAGAGAAGTCCCTGAAATTGATTAGACATAAATTATGATAGGTAAAGCAATGTCATCGGGATATATCAAATGATTGCCTTCTAAATAGTACTCCCTCTGTCCCATAATATAAGAGCGTTTTTTACATTACACTGGTGTCAAAAACGTTCTTATATTATGGGACGGAGGGAGTACTTCTACTACTGTAAGTTTTATGAAAAAAATGTGTTTGTTGTACTCCCTCCGTCCGAAAAAACTTGTCCCAAGCTTGTCTCTCAAATGGATGTATCTAGCACCAAGTTAGTGCTAGATACATTCATTTGAGGGACAAGCTTTTCCGGACGGAGGGAGTAATAGACACTTAAGACAGAGTATATATATATATATATATATATATATATATATATATATATATATATATATATATTCATGAAACTATCTCGTGCTTGAACCTTGTACTGCATCGATAATATATATTTTGTTCACTGAAACTATAGTTGATATTAAGGATTGGGAAATGACGTTACTACAAACTGTATAAGATGACTTTCCTTTCAGCTATTTTTTCCTGGGATGGTAATACTTTATTTTGATATGCATATCAGGTAGGATTAGCAGGGGCGAGCTTAGCATATTTGCCAGAAATTTAATATTGCTCTCCCCGTGCCTCCACATGTTACCCAACCAGATAACTGGGAGTTGCACTGCTGTTGCTGGCAAGGTAAGATAGGATACTATACAGATATTCCTGATCCATGTTATGATGCCATACTCGTATTACAAGAAACACCTAGAAAGCACAAAAAATTACAGCACCACTGCTGTTGCTGTTGCTGACAAGCACTGAAAATAAACAACCAAACCAGAGCAATCCCTCGGCTAAAGGAAAGGAAGGACAGAGGTACTTTATAGGCAAACAAATCTACTCTAAGAGCTATGTTTAGATATTTCACTGAACATCTATGAATTCATGTTTTTTTAATGATACAACATGTGGCATACAGTGTAGAAAAACATTATTAGCGAAATTGCTCCCATACTTCTCCAGAAGTAGAACGGCGTGAATATGAAGTCGACCAAGGGCGATTTGCACCAATTTAAGTCTGCACACTTCAGAATTTATGTACCTTCCTTTTCGGGGGAGTACCGTCCTGTCACGCCACATCATTTTCAGAATTTAAATTATTTATGAGATAGTTTAGATAATATTTAGGATTTGTACATGTTGTCTGATCACACTGTGCATTGTCAGCCTTATAGGTATGTACTCACTAAGACACATAAAAGAGGACAGATAAGACAATGCAGTCCATTTTTACCTGAAAATATTAATGTTGGATCCATCTATCTCAAATTTAACTTCATGGATCCATGGAAACTAATAGAGCATGCTTTCCAAGATATTCTACCTATACATCCATAAAATAGGTGAATACACCCTTTCAATATAAGGTGTTAAAATGTTGTGTCATTTTACAGACAACAAGAGCAAAGGTAGGGGCTGACTGTTGGGTTCCAGGAATAGGAAGGAACACTGAAGCTTATGTTTTGAAGGACCAGGTTAGTGTCACCATGAATCCATGATTCCTTGACCACCAAAACTCAGTTTTGCAACCACACTCTATACAGTCATCTTTGTTGAAAACTTGATATAGTGCCCAGTAAGGCAGTAATGCTTTAATACTTCCATATCATCAATTGCTGGGGTGCATACTTCAGTTATCTTGTTCTTGTGATCAGTTTTGAATGTTAGATCATAATTTCCTAGCTAGTTCCAACGATTTATCATCTATATACAGGAAACTCGCTACCGCCAGAGATATCTCGACCTCATGGTAAACCATCAAGTGAGACATATCTTTAGAACACGATCCAGGGTCATTTCCTTCATCAGAAGGTTCCTTGATGAACGCAACTTTTTGGAGGTGGGTCCTGAACCATTATGCATTCTCTTTGAAGTGCTTCTTTAAGAAAATGAAAATCATTCTCTTATTTGGCTAAATGGTTTCCCATCTTGGGGGTCATTGTCCAGGTCGAGACTCCAATGATGAACTTGATTTCCGGGGGAGCATCTGCAAAACCATTTGTTACACATCACAATGAACTAAACATGGATCTGTACATGAGAATTGCTCCTGAACTCTATCTGAAGCAGTTGGTCGTGGGTGGCTTGGACCGTGTTTATGAGATAGGAAAGCAATTCAGGAATGAAGGGATTGATTTAACTCACAATCCTGAATTTACAACATGTGAATTCTATATGGCTTATACAGACTACAATGACCTGATGGAGCTGACTGAAACCATTTTGTCGAGTAAGTACTTTTTTTAGCAGTACATAAATTTGGCTCATGTTTACAGCCCATACAGACCGTGCTGAATGTTAGGTGTTGCACTTAGGCTAGCAAGTACTACTCAAGTGATGCATCCATGGACCACTGGAATTAGTTTTCTTTATTTGATTGCATGGATGGGCTAGAAAAGTCGTCATATGAAATGCCTATCGAATTGTTATGAAATGTTTGTGTATCTAAGTTTTGGTAACTATGGCAGGTATGGTGATGGAGCTGACTGGTAGTACTAAGATAAAATACCATGCGAATGGAGCTGATAACCCTCCCATAGAGATCGATTTCACACCTCCTTACAGGTAGTAGATATGAATATGGTTTCTGAACATCATGACTGCACCTGTGAAATATGATTTGATATTATCTAAGTTGTTCGCTCACTTGGGTTGTTTGGAGCTTCTATGTTATTGTAGAAGGATAGATATGATGCAAGAACTGAAATCTATCGCTGGGCTTGACATTCCATTAGATTTGTCAAGCGACGAGGCTAACAAATACCTCGCGGCAACATGTGAGAAGTATGGAATCAAATGCTCGCCGCCTCAAACAACAGCACGGTTGCTTGACAAGGTTTCATTCATGTCTCCTGGACACCAGCCTTTGTTGGAACTACTTGTTAAAACTTGGCTTGTTTAACTTATCTTGCAACTTATGATTTCTCTGTTGAGTTTATCATAATCTATTAAGCCAAACATTCCATAACATCTATTGAGCATACTAGTTTCTTCTGTATCAGATTACTGGGCATTTCCTGGAGGCCACATGTGTGAACCCAACTTTTATCATCAATCATCCAGAGATAATGAGCCCACTGGCCAAGTGCCACAGGACTCAGTCAGGACTGACAGAAAGATTCGAGTTATTCATCAACAAGCATGAGGTAAA